GTGTTTCCTGGCTTTTTTATGAAGGGCACTGCTATGGACTTCTCAGGTCTGGTTGGTGTGACAAACTGCTGTGAGAGTTGTTATCCATGTTTCATTTGTGTCTGTGTTGCAGATGGAGAAGGCTCACAGTGCAGGAGCAGCCAGCAGCACGGGTTCTCTGGAACGAGCGTCCCTGTTCTGCGCCTCTGCTTCTACCACAGTGTCCAGCTCCGGCCTGTCCAGCCCTGTGGAGATACTCAACAAGAGCAAGTCCTCCAGCCGCTTCTCTCTCTTCTCGCCGCCCTGGAACAGCAGCTCAGAGTCCGACTCCAACCCGCCGTCCCGCTCCGGCTCTAAGAAGCTCCGCAACTACAGCCGTAGAGCCGCCACGGGGCCGGCCGGAGCGAGGGGCCCCGATACGCCAGAGCCCAAACCCAGTGGTCCCGAACACTTCCAATACTCGGAGCCTGTCATCTCCAAGGTGACCGATTACATCTACGTCGGCAACCTAAACGCAGCGTACAATGGCCGTACGCTGTGCCGCAACAACATCGATAGCATCATCGACATGAGCAGTGCTCCAGGAGAATCGGCCCCCTCCCTTAGCCTCATACCCTGCACCTGCTCTCGTGGCGCCCGCCACAGCTGGTCCCGCCTCAAAGTGGACATCGGAGATGTGCCGGACGCTCTGGGCGATGGCCCGTCGCTGAAGCAGCGCTGTTTCGAGGACATCAACGAGTGCATCAACGCCTCCACGGAGAAGCGGAAGCGCGTCCTGGTCCACTGTCGGGACGGCTACTCTCTGGCGCCCACATGCATCATCCAGTACCTGATGGTGAAGCAGAACATGAGGCTGATCGCTGCCTACGAGCTGCTGAGGGCCAAGTACCCGGTCAACATCAGAGAGTGCCACCAAAACGTCCTCGTGAGCCTGGAGAGGGCGCTGCGGCCCGGCGGAAACATTGACCCTGAGTGCTTCAAACAGGCCATCTCACGCAAAGTGGCGTGGACCTGATTTTGTTTCCCATCATGCTCAGCTGCTGCTCGACGCCCTCTCTGCTCCTCCCACAGTATTGGATCCTTTCATACAGACAACCAAGGGCAGCTGTAGACTGATCACATGGATATTATTGTCCCCACTTGTGGTTGTGAGAATTTGATGTATTTCCTCTTCAGACCTGTAAATGTGACCTGGCCGTGATTTCCTCCTTCATACTCGCCAAATAGGAGACGCAATAGACTTTGCTGTAGTGCGCAAAGCTTCTCGGTATAACAGTGTGATAGTGTTGGCTGTATAGTTGATATAGTCCTGCTTCAGTTCTGTGCCACACCGTCGTGTTGCTGTTCTATATCAGGGGAATTTCTTACCGGGTGATCTCAGGAGATTATTGATGTCATACTAGAACCGTGTCAGTGCTCGTTAGATTATCCTGCAGCTTCGTTCACACGTGGAATCAAAAACGCAGCTCGGAGAGTCGGGAAGGGTTCCGCAACAGGTCCGAAAGGGTTATGAAGCCGTTGCCCGTTCACGTTATGCATCCAGCTGGCACCACGGCCACTGTAGGAGCTCTTCCACTTCCTGTTCATGCCATTGCACCGATGTTCGCTGCAGATCAGACGAGAGCGCGTAAGAGTTAATGGAACCAAAATGTCCCCACAAGAGCCCACATTTGATTTTAACTTTGAAAAATGGTGAACGGATGATAATAATAAAGTCTCTGAACTTGAATAAAACACGTTTATGTCTTTTAAGAAGCCGATCTGGTCCTGATTGGTCAGATAAGGATGTCTGATAGGATAGCACCCATTTCTAAACAATAACTTGATAGTTTAACCCCCAAACAGGCTCTTCCATGTTTGTATAAGTAGCAGCCGTGCTGTGACGTCTCTAATACTCACAGAAATGCCTTTTTTAACTCAAATATATCATTTGTGTGTTCTTTATTTTTCTTAAAATCAAGATGAACATTTCCCGATGAAAAATACTTATTCAGCAAATTTGATCTCGGAGGGCTGCATCATTTTTGGGCTATTGCCCAGGTTCGGTAAGACGAGCACCAGAGCGTGGTGCAACTCGTAACTGTAGCTCAGTGCAACTAAAAGAAAGGACGCGCTTGCTGGATGAGCAAAGTTGAACTACAAAAATCAAACCGATTGCAGATTGAGTCGGGTTATCGCAAATATGTTTGCCCAATTGCTCAGCCTAGAGTTTGCCTTTTATGGACGACTCAATAAAGCAAAGGATGCCTGGATGCACCAAAACACTGCTGCATGTTGAAAACGACCTTTCAGGTGTAACCTAGTCATGTAAATCCAGTGTGACATCGCAGTAATTCCACTGGTGAGACACGTAAGCCTGTAAAGGATGATTTTCTTTCTCGCTTTAAGATGTGAAATAACTGTAGAAGCAAGCGACCACGTGGGACGTCTTACAACATGGACTCTGTTACCAGCCTGAACGTTGGGCGAGTGCTGTAATGTATCTGTTTAGTTTACACGAATCATTTTACGTAAAGACAGTTTAGTAGAACTAATAGAAAAAAAACAGCAATGTCCTGATAAAATAACTGTTGCCGTGTGTAAATGAGGTCACCTGTGATTCAGTACTCTCCCAATAGTACATTAACCCAGCGCAGCGTCACTTTGCGTTGTCTATATGCACATTAGAAAACCTAAAGATGCAACAAACTGGAATTGCACCAGTAGGGGTTGAAAATTCCTTCAGCCGTGCTTGGAATGGCCGCGGCTTTCAAATATTTGAATGCTTATTAAATTCTAAGTGTATCTGTTGTATCTTCAAATACATATTTTCCCCTATTTTTGTTTTTTCTAGTGAGCTACTGTAACATGTTACGACTATGTGCAGATGGCTATAAGACGTAGTTGGTGGTCACCATTAAACAACTAAATAGACTAAAGGACGGGCAGAGCTCATCTTGTTGTGTAGGAAAGGTCAGCAGAAGCTGCTCACGAGTCTTCTGTTAATTTAGCTCATTGACTTTAATTATGCACCGCATAGAAACGTGTAAGTATATCAGTGGATTTATACTTCTGCTCTCCACATATGTAGTTTCTGCAAACCCTCTACTGTAACACATTGAATCGACGCAGTGGAGTGGAAGACAGCGATTCAGCTCGATGAGAATGGTATAGAATTGTTTTACTAAGTAAGTCCACTGCAAAGTCCACCAGGTAGAGCTAACACGTCGCAAGCTAGCCACAACTGCACGCAGTCGTTTGAGAAATCATCAGTCTTTGCTTAGAAATGTCCACCCTAGTTTTTACCCAGAGAACCTCTCCTCACAAATTTACTAAGTTTTAATGTGAGCTGCAGACTCGGGCTGATGCTGGATCCATTTAAGAAAAAGTTTTAGTGCCAACTGTAACCTGCCATCAGGTTCATGTAGACGTTTGGGCAAAGTTTGGAGATCTATAGCTGATAAAGTCTTAGTTCGGAGTGTCATAGTAGATGAAATATGGACTTGGGTTGAAACCCAAACAAACCGTCTGTACTCCAGCCAATGGAGGACATGCATGCTGTTTGTTATCTTTAGATCTACAGCTGCTTCCTGGATTATGTTGCAGTTTCTTCTTCTTCTGTCTTAAAAGGGAACTTTTGCACATGGACACTTTGTGTTGCTTCTGACCTTTTTGTGCCGTTATCTATCTTTTGTGTGCTTATTTTTTATTTATTTTCCCCCCTGAGGTCATGCTCGACAGGATGAACGGTCCCTCTTGTCCTCTGTGAGGAAGACTCGAGCCTCGTTTTTAGTGACAGTTCTGTGAATTTGAACTTTGGTGTGCAGTGAAGTTGAGTGACATGCATCTCTTATCAGTATTAGTGCACCATCATTGCTGAGCTGCTATTCGGGGTTTATGCATGGCAAGAGGTAATTATTTTTCTTTACTTTTTCGCTCCACTGCTTACAGAACTGTCTAAAAAGAAGAGTATTAAAGTTTCCCTGTGAATGTTTAAAGACACTTAACATGACTGAGTTTCACAATGAGGAAAAAGGAGACAATGTTCATTAAAAGTAACCAGATGAAGGTGTTAACAGCAGTCAGGGCTTTGAAGTCATGAGTCAAATTCTTCTTAACCTACAAATATTTTGTTAAATGTCAGAAAATGGTGAAAATGATCTTTTCAGAGGTACTGTTTTGTCTTTAAAGGTACCCTTTTTATTTACCCTTTGCAAATGTCACCACCAGGGGGCAGCATTTTAACAGCAGGTGTATTAAAACATGTTCAGATGTGTGCTGCTGTTCGTTAAACTTCCAACGTTTCCTCTCAGCCCCGATTCCTCTAGACGATTTGCATTTTACCAGGTTAGCTGTGGAAATGGGAATCTGCTCTTGGATGACTCACTATGCCATCCTGTGGTACGACACGAAACAACGGCATAGGCCTGTTTTAACATCAGTTGATGTCGCTTCAACACAGTACACAGATGTGTTTCAATTCAAAGCAGTTGCTTCTTTACATTCTGTGGGTGTAGTTGGTTTTTAAGTAAATATATAAGCTGTGAAAGGCTGATGGTGTATTGTCATCACTCAGCCAAGTTTTATAGTTGTATCTAATAAAAATCTTGTATAAGTTTGAATCACAGTGACCTTGACCTGAAGGTCAGAGGTCAGTTTTTCTGAAAATCATCTAGGAAGTTCAAGTTTATACAATAGACACATCTACTAAGAGGCTAAAAGGATGGCACTGGCAGTTGCCTTTTGTTGCGTGTGTTAAATTAATGAATTTAGAAGTACCTTTAAAAACACAAACATTTGCACCAGGAAAGCATCACCATATCTGGCTGTAATTACTTTAGTTATATCTTTAATGCTTACGCAGGCGTGTGTATCAAAAATAGGAAGTATTGTGGGGGACCAGAACTGCCAAAATGAAATAATGACTCAGTAAAGTGTTAAAAATATTAAAATCAAACGTAGGCTTCATTTCATAAACTGTGACATTAATTCATCTTTGTTTTTTTGATTTACCTTTTTATTCACTTTTAAGTTTAATTTGGGGGTTTTCAGATGATTTGATTGGACAGTGCAGTACAGAGGACAGAAGGGTGAGAGGAAGCGACACATCAAATGACCTGGGACATACCACTGAAATGAACAAAACAAAATCAAAAAAACAAAAGGAATTTTAAATTAATTGTAAAGGAAATTTAAAAAAAGTCATTTTTTAAAATTAATGTGCATTTTGATATTTTAGGTGTAATAACATAGATGTATATATGAGGTCTTTTATTTTTGATTAATTTGGTCTTCCATACATGCATCTGCTTGTAGTAATCTGTAGGAGGTAGAGCCAGGTGGAAGGACTTTTAAGGAGCCGTACTGTTTGGATGTCAGTGAGTGAGCAGACGGTGACGGTAGCAAAGGTTGAACACTAGTGGGGATGTATTTACCACCTGCTCTCATCAATCAGCACTATCCTGCCCTCTCATTGGTTGAGGAAAGTGCTGAACCTCCCACTTCTCACCCCGAGTGGTTATTTTGCCAGTCATTGCTTGAAAAAGTTGAATGTCATTGAGTGTTGATGGTCTTTGGTCGCCACATCACTGCTAGCCACTTCCTTTTTAGCCTATTTATTGTACAAAAATATATATATTGTTAGGACAGAGTGTTAGCCATACAGAAATGAGCTCATTGCCAAATTCTCACTTAAATGGGAGTGTAACATCGGATGGTCCATGTATTTTCGTAAGGGGGGAAAATGGACCAGTGTCCTTTGCAAAAAGTGTGAGAATTACTGGTTTCAATGTTGAAACCACTGCTGTGGGTATCATGTGAACTACCGCAAGAAATTCACCAATGACGTCCATATTTACCGATTCTATCTGAAGTCTGTCAAAATGTGGGCTGGTTGTTAAATGGCATCAAGGCAGAACTGCTGACTGGGTTTTATTTTGCTTGTAGTTTCATTTTAATTTCATTTTTTCCATATTTTTTTTTTTGGGTGGGGGTCTTAGTGAAATTTGGTATCGGACAGGCCGCCACGGTGACCCTGGCATCACAGTTCATGTGATGGAGTCGAATCTAAAAGTACGGTGCCTTCATTTGGAGTCATCTCATGAGCGTTTGGTGACGTTTGCACACTTTGTATGACTTTAACTTCTAGATATCTTGTAAGATGTTGAATATTTTTGGATGTTTTATTTTGAAAAAGAAGAAGAAAAAAGACATTTGTGTGACTCGTCCTTGCTGTGATATATTTGCAGACGTTAGTGTATAGTAGCGGTGAGACTGAAACGGATTCTATATTTGACAGATGTTTTGACGCTCGTGTAGTGGAAACGATCATCAACAGATTCTTTTTCTTTCTTTTTTTCCCCCCGTCGTCGTAAACTCTCGCCATCTTAATCGTCATATCAGACTGAATAGGTTTTCTAACTCGTTCTCTCAGGTGATTTCTCAGTATCCCAGAATGTTCTCAATGAATACGATGTGATTCAGAAATGTGAAGCAATGTATTTCTCATGTCGTGTTTATTAATCAGATTTAATTTGTACTGTTGAAATATTAAAGAAACCGATGTATCTAACAGCTGCTCGTGTGTTGGAAGTGATTTGAGCACAGACAGCTCTGTTATGTTGAAGCCGTTCAGAGTTGGTGTTGTGTGCACGCTTAGGTGACTGTGATGTCACCCATTACCATTTAAGAAATTAGCTCATTGCTAAATGTTGATTTGTAAGCCACTCCCACCCTGGAAGTTCCCTGAATAAGCGCAATGTGGAGGTCAAACTGTCTCCTGTTGCTTCGTTTGTGCCCTGGTTCCTCTGACATACACTAAAGAACTAAGTTCCTTCAATCAGGAAATTTCCTGC